AACACCAATCATCACTTGTGCCCTCTCTTTTACATAGCCTGTAATCACTTCGAGATTGGGCAGTACATACAAAACTGACATCAAAAGTGGGAAGGATGGGTGGAAAATGTGAGAGGAGGTAAGTATTTATTGGAAATACATTTTCAGCTTAGGAAAATGATAACTTCCGAGATGAATAGCTGGACAAATAGCTAGAATCCCACACTGAGTTGGTGAGAAGATGATTCCCCCTTTAGAAAGTGCCCAAAGAAAGGTCATGGGGTTGCAAATAAATGAAAGGTAACACCCTTGTGGGAGAACACACCACTTTGCCAATGTGAAATTGTGTCATGGTAAAGATGGAGGGACCTCCCAAGCTTAATCGTGTGTGCACATCCAACTCGAACCATTATCATATCCACCAGGAACCAGCATCTAGGAGACGTTGGGAAGGTGGACAGCAAAGTAGGGGTGCATTTCTAGTTCATCATCAGGTGGCATTGGGAATGTATTGTCCAGTCTGTGGTAGAAGGAGGGTACCCAGCTACACACATGTGAGAACTTATGTGGCTGGTCCAGCTCCAAGCATCACCACATTCACAAGGAACCAACATCCAGGGGACAATAGGAAAGAGGGTACCTTAGCCAGAATGTCAAACTGCATGTTGGCGGAACGCATCCAACAACTGAAAGCGTCTAGAATTGTACATCAGGTGCATGGTAGGATGAGCATCAACACCATCTACTTCGGAAGAACACCACTACCCTACTCTCAACCGAGTGGGATTGGGCATACTAAGGAGGAAGCCTTCATGGTCCACCACCCAAGCAGCTAGGAGCTGGTAAGTGGCAAGGACTCCCATACTCCACTAGAAGAAAGGAAACAGTGCATTGGAGAGTCCGGAAGATATGGTAAGGGGACAAATTTGATGGGAAGATACTTGGAAAAGATGGCAATCATCAAAAGAAAGGGAAGAATAAGCCACCTAATTAACTGGCAAGTTCAACCAAGGTTGAAAGGTAATGGGAGAAAGGTCACAGAACAGAAGGATTCCAAGGAATAAATAATCAGAAGCAGGAAGCATGGAAGGAATCAGTGTGTATCACATAACAGCGGAAAGCTCTGACTGGACAGAGGAGGCAATCAGGATCAGAATGGTGTGATATAGAAGGAAGGGAGATAAATGTGAAGACTGAATTCCCCCTCCTGATTGGCCGAAGTTTTGAGCAGAAAAGAATGATCAGGGAAAAGAACCACATAGGAACTGTGAATCAAGGTGTAGCACACATCAATAGCAAACACATCCAAATGACGACATCTGCACACCAACAGGAGGAGGAAAAGGGTCTTCCAGGAAAGGTAATATATGGAACAGGTCAACAAGGGTTCAAAAGGAGGAAGATTAAGGGCATAAAGGAGGACAATGAGGTTCTAATCTGGGAGAGAGGCAGGACGGGTGATGTGAAGAGAATGGAACAAACAGGGCAGGACCTGTGAGCTGAAGACACAGGCATAACATGTAAAATGAAACAATGTGGCTGACAAAGCCACTCAATAGCTCATAGCAGAGGAGATCAAAAGGCCCCTGTCAAAGAGCCATGTTAGAAAGAAAGTGATGTGGGGTCAGACAGGATGCAGGCTAACTGAGACATATGGAATAACAATGGTACATTTGCCACTTTCTTTGGTACACTACCATGGAGGAAGGACATATGGAATGGAAAATAAAGGATACTACATGCTGCCAAAGTATAGTCTGCTGGGCCAGGGACTAGACAAAAGCTACCCATGAAGCCTGTGGGAATGGATGAATGACTTATGCCAGACTGGGGCTGATGAAGAAAGGTTGGGGAAAGAGGGAAGGAAGAGGAGGCAACACCAGTAGTCAGCACAAAAGTGGAAACCACAGACAAGCTGGCCAATATGGAGCCACTAATAGAACCTGACACAGAGTGGTCTGATTGATGGAAAGTACCCAGGAAATCAGATGAATTGGAGAGTAGGTATACAGGTATAGACCTGACCAATTCAGACTGAGAGCATTCACCACTTCAGCCAAAGAATGTGGAACAGGATACCAAAACCATAGAAGTTCAAAATTGAGAAGAGTGGTACAGGCATCCAGCTCTGAACACCTCACTAGACACAGAGCCCCCAAAACACCTGTGGGTCCAGTAATAAAACCCACTAAAAGTGATGCATGTGGGCACAACCAAAATCGATGAGAACTTTCAGAGAAGCCTACGCCCCAAAGCAGAGAACCTATTATGCGATGGGAGAAGGAGAAGAAGAGAAGCTACAAACTAGAAATCCCATAGCCCTCAATGGAAGGGGAGAAGGTTGAGCCTGACTAAGTATGAATTGCAGAGACAGCCTGTGGGGAAGTTAGAAATAGCCAATTGTCCATGCAATGGTGGAAACGAAGGTCCCAGGAATGAAGAAGATGGCATATACCTGGAACAAAAAACAAAGAGCGCCGAGACGAGTATGAACAGAATAGCTCAGAACTGAATCCTCCCTGAAAATGAGGATAAAAAAAGGAAAACCAGACCTTCTAAAACCACCTTCAGAACCCAAGGGTCCATGGCAAAGTCCCTCCAAATCTGAGCAAATCTGAAGAGCCTGGTCCTCACAGGTCCCAAGCACACAATGTAGTCACCAAAACTGACAAGGAAGGAGGAGGGCGAGACACAGAAACAGTTACAGAAAGGTTTGGGATAAAGGGGAGACCAAGGAGGAAATGGAGGTATGCAATTAGGTTGACTCAACCCTGAATTCCAAAGAGTTGAAAATGCCACCACAAACCTCCTGGTATAAAAAAGGTGCCATGCATAAATCATGCAAAAAGGAAGGAAGCATACTAACCCAAGACAAAAGGGTATCTCGATCCAAAAGATCCCAACAACAGATCAACCATGTTTGCAAAGCAAGGGCAAAAGAGGAGAGGTATGCTAAAGTGGTAAATAGTAAATTCCGAGTGTTTAAAGAAAACTCATTGGGGGAGCAAAGAACAATCTCAAACAACAGAGAAGGGCAGACAGGGTGAGACAAATACGGTAAAATTGGGGCTGGGAAAAGGAAACCGATATATTGGGGTCAGATCCCCACAAAGGGACAAGCAACTTCAAATACTGTGAATTGAAAAAGAAAAAATCAGAACAATGATACGCCAGAACATGGTCATCCAGAGTACATGAGGGTTGAGGCATACTGACACCTGAATGCAATTGGTCCCCAAAATGACTCTCATAAACCCCAATATCTGGAAAGGGAGGAAACACTAAATACTGACCCAAGGGCTCATCATTGAGAAGGGCAGGAGTAGAATCATAGGAAATGAGTGATAAGGATAAAACATAACATACCTAATTGATTAAGTTTAAAAATTGGGAAGGAGGCCTGGGCACATATCCCAAAACAACACACAACTGTGATGCACAGGCAAGAGGAGGAAACAGACTGTCCAAATCCTCATTGTCATGTTCAGGCACACCCTCACATGGTACATGAGGCCAATCATCATGTGACTCAGAAGACTGCATAAAATGTGGCTAACTCCCTATAAACCAGAGCCGTTACTTTCTGAGCAGATAAAGCTTGTTCAGATGCCATTGAAGTGGCCAGCAAATCAGCTGTAGTAGTGACAGTAGCTGCGGTAGGTGCCACTTGGAATTGCAAGTGCAATACCAGTGGATTTCACTAGGAAAAAAATTGTTCTTCAACTTTTTTTTCAAATCGTAAAAATTCAAAATGAACGGTTAAAAAAATGTGCTGGCTAATTATCAACAATAAACTTAAATCAATAACAAACATTTTCAGTTAAGAGACACAAGTGAAAACAAATCCCAACAGTTAAGACTCCCAATCAAGAAGTGATTATGGGCTGCAATGAAGACAGGGCACTAGTAACAATAGGAGTTGTTCATACTCCTATTGGTGGAAAGTTGCTGCATGATCATTTTCATGATAACAAGAAGATGTCCCATGTGAATACACACGAGGGTAGGTGGGAGTATCAAGGCTAGTGGCGAGTGAAAATGTGCATATAGAGGGCAGTTAAGTGGAGAAAAGCTATTTGTGAAAGGAGGTAACATATCTTATTGGATATTTTTTTTCTTAGCAAAGTACACTAAATAAGCATTGTTACAAAATTATAAAATATCAATTTAAAATATTTTTCAGTTTACAACTGTTAAAATAGAGTTTGAATTATTATTTTTTTATTTAATTTTTAAATTGATATGCAGGTGTGCATTCAACACCAGAAAGTTGCTCACTGGTCATGATAAGGTTAATTTGGAAGAATCTGAAAAATCTTTGTGAGTGGGCTGGAATGTATAAAATTACTTTGAATACAGTAAAATGTAAAAGATACACTTTGAATTAAAAATCTGGTATATGAAGAAAACTTAACTTGTGTAAGAGAAACACTAATATTCTGGATAGAGAGGAATGTTATGACATGTATTCATAGAAACTTGAAAAGTTCAGTTACATCTAATGTTGAAATGTAGTAAAAAAGCTCAAAGTTCTAGGGTCTAGGATATTTTTTAAAGAGTAAGAAGATTATTGTTATACTTCGTACAAATCTTTGGCGAGGCTTAATTTTAGTGTTGTATGATTTTTTTGTTTCAGCTGTGCAGAATGATATTGATGTTCTGGAAAGAGTCAGGAAATAGTTTACTAGAAAGATAACTGGTATAAAATATACGAGGTATGAATAATGCTAAAAGAGTTAAGATTTTTTCTTTAATGTAGAGCTAGATGTGGCTTCTGTTTAAATTAATATGAGATTGAATAATCAACCCAATGAATGGACAATTTCAGAGATTTTCCAAGAGATACAGTACAGATTTTTCTCAAATATTGCTTCAACTCATTAGAAAAAAAAAGAGAAAAATATATATATATATATATATATATACACACACTTAACTTTTATAATTCTTTTACTCACATTTACAACAATAAACAGACAGTTACTGTACATTTTTATAATTCTCAAGTTATCTCATCTTACCTTAGGCTGTAAAATACCTTCCACACTGCTTTCTATATTTGTCTCAAAAACATGGGCTTTTGTCAGCTTCTTGTCCCAATGAGCAGCCAGCCAGATACGGGCTAAAGGGCCCTTCTTTGCCAATACAAAATGAGCGTAAAACATTTCTGTTCAATAGTTGATGCACAAAACCAACCCTAAAATTATAGAAAAGAATAATATCAATTTATGTTCATATATCAATTAATTCACCTAATATTCATTAAAACACTTAATTTCTTCTGTATGAAATATTTAATGAAATGTGAGTCTATATCTGTACTCTTTTCTATATTTTTTAGATTAATTAGAATTAAATATTTTCTTCTATTTATGTAATACTACTACTTATTGGGATGACTAAGTATTGTTTTCAATGTTACCATTATTTTTTTCCATCTGATGCTCATTAAATAATTGAATAAAGCTAAATAACATGCTAAGGTTAAAAATTAGATGCATAATTTATTTATCTGTAAACTAATATTTAAACATGTCTTATAAATTAAACAATACTAGTTCTAACAGTGCCAAAACAACAAAACTAACAGATGTACAGAAATGACTTACAAACTTAAACAACTTAATCTTTAGATGCATTGTAATGTTTTGGCTTAAACTGTTAACTGCTATGTGGGCTTAAAGCTTTGAATTTAGCTTTATGACACAAGAAGTCAATTAAAAAACTGGTTTTTATAGTATAGGTGGAAAAGTTAAAAAAGTGGATAAACTGGCTTAATATATAAAGCACAGTGTTACAAAAAAATATGCAGTTTTTTAGTGTGGATGTGTCTATAGAAGTCCCTTAATGGCCTCTTTTGTAATATTTGTTGTTTATCCTAACAATTTTGATAGATTTTTTAAACAGAAATATTATTTCCAAATTTGCTTTATATATAATAAGTTTAGAATAATTGATATTATTAAAAAGGCTCCACCCACAATTTTAGTGGGTGGATCAGAATGTAGAAAATGGTTTAATAATAAAAGGTGTAGAGTAATGCAATTTGGAAATGTGTTATGGCAAAAAATAAATTAGATATGATTCTTTAGTTTAGATATGATTCTTTATTTAGATATGATTCTTTATTTTACAGTAAAAAGTAACAATACTGGTCTCAACTCTCTCTCTCTCTCTATATATATATATATATATATATATATAGA